GTAAAGATACACATGCTGCATAGGAAGGCTGGTGGGGCAGGAGTACAGTGAATGAAGGCAGGAGAGAAGGTAAACAGTGCTCAAATCTCATTGGACCATTAAGTACAATGGGAAAACACCGTCAGGTTTTAAGAAGGTAGTAAATACTATGATTTATACTTTTTTAAAAAAAATCACCCCTATCTATATTTAGAAATTAGATTAACAGGAATGAAAGGAAAGAGACAGATTTGATAGGAATCTACTGCTGAAGACTAAGTCAGAGATAATGGCAGGCTGGGTATAAAGAGAAAAGAATAAATATGACATGAATTTGTGACAAATAAATGGGGATTAATACAGTGTTATGGTAAGAGGATGTGAAGAGGGGAAAGAATAAAAAAACGTCCAGACTGCCTGCTTCAAGAGAGGGGGCTGATGCCAGTTACACAGGTAAAACCACATAAATGGTTAATATACAGCTCCTCTCCTATCTAGTATAGCAGAAGGGACAATCACTTTCACACCTTTAATTTTAACTTTTTTCCTCATGGTAGCAGCACTAGAAGTGGTAAGAAGTGGTTAGATTTGGGATAGATTTTTAAAGGTAGAGCTAACAAGATCTGCTGATGTATGTCAGAGAGACACTAGGCGGGCCCCTGTGATCTCCACCACCTGGTGTTCACAGCCAATATAATCCCTTTGCCTAGGATGTAAGCAGGATCTATGACTTACTTCTAACCAATAGAATATGGCAAAGATGATGAGATTTTTTTTTCCTGTGACACTATCCTGATAGCAGATTCAGTCTAGAGACCCTCCCCATGGCCTTATGAAGCAAGCAGCCATATTAGTGAAGCCCAAGTGACAAGGAATGACGAGTGAGTGGCCTCCAGGAACTGAGGGCAGCCTCTGTGAGTTGAGGACAGCCTCCAGTCGACAGCCAGCGGGAAGGTGGGACTCTCAAGGAACCACAAGGAAATTGATTCTGCCAGTAACCTGAGTAAGCCTGGGAATAAATTCCTCATCAGTCAGTGTCTAGAAGAGAATGCAGGCCAACTGACTCCTTGACTGCAGAGGACTCGGTTCAGCTGTATCCAGACTCCTGATCACCAGAAAACTGTGAGATAATAAATGTGAATTGTTTTAAGCTGCTAAGTTTGTGGTAATTTATTATACAGCAAAAGATAACTAATACACATACCAATATGGGGTATGAAAAAACAAGAAGTTAAGGGTGACTCCAAGATTTTTAGCTTCAGTAAACAGAAGGATGGAGCAGTCATTAACTGAGATGACCATTTATTTTGCATTGTGACAGCTGGGAGAAGAGCAGGCTTGGGAAAAAGATCAGTTTGGGACATGTTAAATTTAAGATGCCTATCAGACAGCCAAAAGATTGAGGTGTCAAGTAAAGAGCTGGAGATATGGGTTCAGGAGAAAAGTCCAAGCTGCACATACAAATTCAGGAGGAACCAGCATTAAAGCTAAGGTATTACTTGAGATTACCAAGAGAGTGAATACACAGACAGAAGTGGACCAAGGGCTCAGCCCTGGGGAACACCATCATTCTGAAGTCAAGTCAGGTAAAAGAGGAACTAGCTAAGGAGGCTGAGAAGGAGGAAGCAGTTAGAAAAAATATCAAGAGAATGTACTGGGCCCAAGCAGTGGCTCACGCTTGTAATCCTAACACTCTGGGAGGCCGAGGCGGGCGGATGGCTCGAGGTCAGGAGTTCAAAACCAGCCTGAGCAAGAGCAAGACCCCCATCTCTACTATAAATAGAAAGAAATTAATTGGCCAACTAATAAATATAGAAAAAATTAGCCAGGCATGGTGGCACATGCCTGTAGTCCCAGCTACTCAGGAGGCTGAGGCAGTAGGATCACTTGAGCCCAGGAGTTTGAGGTTGCTGTCAGCTAGGCTGATGCCACAGCACTCACTCTAGCAGGGCCAACAAAGTGAGACTCTGTCTCAAAAAAAAAGAGAATGTGCTGTCCTGTAAGCCAAATTAAGAGAGATTACGTGTATCAATGTTGGTGTAAGATTATTAATAAAATGAAGACTAAGAATGGAAAATTAAAAATTCAGCTCCTAAATCACACTAGCCACATTTCAAGTGCTTACTAACCACACATGGCTAGTGAGACATGATAGTGTAAACACAGAACATTTGCATCACGAACTTCTAAGGGACAGCACTGATCTACGGATAAAGGCAGAATAAATTAGCACAGACATAGGTAAAAGGTAAATGTGGTTGTGGAAGTCATTTTCTAATAACCTTTATCTTTCAAAATAGAAGCAGGAAGCAAGGCTATTAGCTAAGAATGAAAATAGGGAATAAGGTGGTAGAGATTTAAAAAAAACAAAAAGAAAGTACAACAGTGAAGCAGGAGAATGGGAAAAGGAGAGAGAATCAATGGATTACGGACCCCTGTGGGGTCAAAGATTGCTGGAGTTGGGGTATTAGAAAGAAAGAGCTGAAAAGATTAGACAGTGCCTCAGGTCGGGTTCCCTGCAAACAGAGCCTAGGATGGATATTCTTGTGTAAGTGATTTATTGAGGGAATGCTCTCTGGATATACATGTCAGGAAGTAAGATAAAAAAGGTATAGAAGGAGAAACTAAGCAAACAGTGGTCTAAGCTGAAGCCTAGTTTTGGCCTGATCCCAAGGGGAGCTCTGGAGCAAGAATGGCACAGTTTTCCCACGCAGAAGTAGGGTCATGCCCTCGAACCTCCGTGCCAGTCAGTTGTTGGCATCAAAGCATTTTTACGATGGCTGCTTTAAAATGGTCATCAGGTAATCCTAACATCTGTGTTATCTCAGTGTTAGTGTCTTTTGGTTGCCTTTTCAAGTTGAGATTTTCCTGGCTCTTAGCGTGACAAATGATTTTCCATTGAAATCTGAACATTTTGGGTATCATGTCATGAAACTCTGAATCTTATTTAAATCCTCTGTGATAGCAGACCTCCTCTGATACCACCCCAGAGGGGATGGGGAAGATCGACTCCTTCCTGCCAAGTGGGGGAAGAAGTCCAGGCCCACCATGTGGTCTCCACTGACATCACAAAAGTAGTGGAAGCTTCATTCTGCCTTGTGGAGATGAGTCCCAGCTCCTTGTTTAGTCTTCTCTAACAGTACCCTGACAGTAGGGTTGTGACACCTGACTAAATCCTGGTGAGGGTGAAAATTTAGGTTCGGACTTTGCTTACATGTATGGGGGTGGAGCTAAATTTCTACAGTGTTTGGCTGAAGTAAAGCAGTTATTGTCTGAAAGTTTTCTATCTTGTTAGGCTGTTGGTTTCCTGGTCCTAGGCTAGAGAGAACAGGCTGTTATTGAGGGTTGTTCAGCTTGTGCCTGTCAGCATTTCCAGATTGCCAGCTTCTCCAATATCAAGTCTGGGATATATGAGGCAAAAGGAAAACCCTTGGAACTCATTGTTGTCACTCCTTGTGCCCGGAAGTCCTTAACCAAATTGCCACCTTCTCTCTACCTTTCCAAGTTTTCTCATGTTTGTTTCTATATAACACCTAGGGTTTTTAACAGTGCTTACTGCAAAAAACTGGGAAAAAAGACCTTCATTTCTTTATGACTTAAAAAAGTCTCCTCTTTTCAAATATTCTATTTCAGTACAACATTCTATTTCTAAAGTAGTATCTATTGTGTTTATTTACTCTGGTCCTTCTAGGTTTGTCTTCAATTCTAAAATTATTTCTAAATTTTTAACATTCTTTCCTAACTTCTAGTATCTCATTTCTGAATCTTTCATATCTTGTATGACTTTCTTATTGTATCTTAGCTTGTTCTGGAATACTGAGTTATAATTTTCATCAGTTTTATGACCATTGTTTTATTCTTTTTTTTTTTGAGACAGAGTCTCACTTTGTTGCCCAGGCTAGAGTGAGTGCCGTGGCGTCAGCCTGGCTCACAGCAACCTCAAACTCCTGGGCTCGAGTGATCCTTCTGCCTCAGCCTCCCGAGTAGCTGGGACTACAGGCATGCGCCACCATGCCCGGCTAATTTTTTTTTTTTATATATATATATCAGTTGGCCAATTAATTTCTTTCTATTTATAGTAGAGACGGGGTCTTGCTCTTGCTCAGGCTGGTTTCGAACTCCTGACCTTGAGCAATCCGCCCGCCTCGGCCTCCCAAGAGCTAGGATTACAGGCGTGAGCCACAGCGCCCGGCCCTGATCAAGTTTTGTTACAGATGTTGGTCATGTGTTTTTGATTTTGCTAGCCTAGCTGTTCTGTGTGTTTTAATGACTATATTTCGGAGGACTCAGAAACTATATTACTATGACCATCATATTTACAGAATCCCTTAAAGAACAGATGTTGGTTTTTGACAATCTTCATTAATAGATGATGTCTAGAAAAAAATTCTAGGTCACAAAATCAGCATGTTGATAAATTTCTTCTAAAAGAAACTCTCCATAGCTAATTTCATTGTGACAACATATATACTCCTTCAAAACGAGCAACATGGGATCAGCATACAGACCTTGATCCTTGGGGAATATTAAACAATGGCATAATTTCCCCGAACAAACTATTAAAATAAATTCCAACCACTTGACCTATGGAAATATTAATTACATTAAAAGATTAAGTAAACTCCTACTTATATAGAACCTACTATATGTACCTAAAGCAAAATATCAGAGGCAGTATCTGGAAAAGATGAATTATTGCTTATCACAATATTGAATTCTCTGTGGCTCTCAATTTTAAAAACTCTCCTTTGCCAGCAAAGTAAAAAGAAAGAAGAAAAAAAATTTTTGAAAGAAATTTATCAATTTAAATTTTAAATATATAAAAAGATTAAAATACAAAAAAAGAAATAAAAACTCAATATATGCCAAAACAGCCTGAAAGACAACTACCTAAATATTAACAGGGATTTTCCTCAACTAATGGAATTATTGGTGAGTTTTTTTCTTTTTGCTTATCTGTACTTCATGAATTTTCAAAATGAAAAAGTAAACTTCTTGCAACAATGTTTAAAACCACTTACGCTAGAACCATGTTGTAATCTGAGTGGTTGAACATATATCCTCCGATAACCCACATTATATTTCCATTCACCACAGCTTTATGAGATGCTCTGGGGAGCTTTAAGTTAGAATATTCCTCTCGAGTCCAAAATGATTGGTTAGCTGGTACAGGAACTGAACATCCAGGACCTAATAAAACATAATAAATTAGTTTCACAAAATGCAGCTTTAAAGCTTATTGCATATTTCAAGTTTTAATCATCTAAATGTAACAAATAATCTTTCCTGTAGCATCTAAATATCAGACAAGTCTCTTTAATTTGCACTTTTAAGTTATTCAAAGTATTAACCAAAGGCAATCTCTAATAAAATTCAAAATTACATAATTTCTGATGATAACTTGACCATATCCAGGTTAGGTTTTCTTTAGAAATGAAATACTTGCTTAAACAGCTCTCAGGAGAAAGACTAGATGAAAAAATTATTAATTCAAATGAAAAACTTTAGGGCTAAAATGCACAGTTGTCCTTTGGTATCCACAGCGGACTGGTTCCAGGACACCCCTCCATACCAAAATCCACAGATGTTCAAATCCCTTATATAAAATGGTATAGTATTTGCATAAAACCTATGCACATTCTCCCATATACTTTAAATCATCTTTAAACTACTTATAAAACCTAATACAATGTAAATGCTATGTAAATAGTTATGTACATTGTTTTTTTTGTATTATTTTTTATTGTGTTTTTCCCCCAAATATTTTTAATCTACAGTTATTTGAATGTGGAACCTACAGGTGCACAATCCACAGATACAGAGGGCCAACTGTAGTCATTAGATATGGGAGTAATAATACAAACTATTCATCTTATGGTAAATCAAGAAACTTAAACTGGCCAGGCATGGTGGCTCACGCCTGTAATCCTAGCACTCTGGGAGGCCGAGGCGGGCGGATTGCTCGAGGTCAGAAGTTCAAAACCAGCCTGAGCAAGAGCGAGACCCCGTCTCTACTATAAATAGAAAGAAATTAATTGGCCAACTAATATATATAGAAAAAATCAGCCGGACATAGTGGCGCATGCCTGTAGTCCCAGCTACTCGGGAGGCTGAGGCAGAAGGACTGCTTGAGCCCAGGAGTCTGAGGTTGCTGTGAGCTAGGCTGACGCCACGGCACTCACTCTAGCCTGGGCAACAGAGTGAGACTCTGTCTCAAACAAAAAAAAAAGAAAAAGAAAAAAAGAAACTTAAACAGATGCAAGAGACAGACTCCATTCTTGGGAGGTTTGGCATCTGCCACAATATTTACATGGTAATAGATACTCAAAATACTTCAATTATTAACTGCTCAATGTTGGCTAATTTCTTCCAAAATAAAAAGTTTCTGAGGAAGGGCTAAGCATATAAGGAAAATCACTAAATCAATAATAGCTATTACCACCCACCCCCCTTAAAGAATTCTCTAGCCCTAGGCTGGGCCTGATGGCTCATGCCTGTAATCCTAGCACTCTGGGAGGCCAAGGCAGAAGGATCCTTTGAGCTCAGGAGTTCCAGACCAGCCTGAGCAAGATTGGGACCCCATCTCTACTAAAAATAGAAAGAAATTAGCTGGACAACTAGAAAACATATATATATAGAAAAAATTAGCCAGGCATGGTGGTACATGCCTGTAGTCCCAGCTACTCGGGAGGCTGAGGCAGAAAGATCTCTTGAGCCCAGGAGTTTGAGGTTGCTGTGAGCTAGGCTGATGCCATGGCACTCACTCTAGCCTGGGCAACAAAGTAAGACTCTGTCTCAAAAAAAAAAAAAAAAAAAAAAAAGAATACCCTAGAAGTTCTTTAATAATCTATTTGTGTAGATAATAGCATTAGTTGACTGTATAACTGACCTTAATTTTCTCTGAACTTACAGAACACTTCTGAGGAAATACCATTATTGTCAGCTCTTTTCCCACCCCCCAGACTGGTTCTCTGCTATGTCCTGATATGGCTGAGCTATGGCAGAGAACAAGTTCTTCAACTTTCATGAATGGGCTGCAAAGTATGTCCAAACCCTTCAATTTCACAACCACATTGTGAAATTGAAAGATTTCTAAGAAGAGCTGGATAAAAGGATATGAATGCTTAAATGTTACTTGATATTTGATTAACATAAATTATATAGCTGCTAAGGATAAGGCAATGTACAATTTATTAAATTGAGAACATTTTATAAAATTGAAAGAAAAATAAAAATGAAAGAAGCTCCTACCCTGCCACTCTGAGAAGCAGGAGCATCCTCTGACATCACTTGAATTGCAAATGCCTCGATGAGGAAAACCACAGTTACTTGTGCAGTGAGGAATGTCACATGCTTCACCATTCCAGTTTTCATAACATTCACACTCGACAGTGTTGCTGGTATTATTGATCTTACATTCTCCTTGGCCTGAGCAATTATTCGGACACATGTCAAAACTATAAAAACAGCGTGGAAAATTAAGTTAACGTAAAGCAACACTTCAATTAATTTAGCAGAACTTCTTCCTAAACAAGGTTTAAGAATCTCACTGTCTCCTCAACTCATTCACAAGCATATTTGGCCATTCAGCCCAAATGGGTTCACTCAACACTGCATACCTAGGGTATAAATAACAAAACAAATCAACCCTGCTATATTCTCATAATAAAACAATAAAAATAAATAACTCATAAAGTCAAAGACATTACAAGAAGGAAATATATACAATATTGTCCAGACTTAGATCCTCAAGGGTGGAATGATTATGCTAGTCTTCTTGGTAGCCCGCTAACAATGAGCATCACAAAATTGCCAAATTCATGTTTGCAAGTTTGGGCAGGAAAAGAATAAAACTAACTGCCAACAATACACTACCACCTTCATGGTATCTATCCTTTTGTATAGTCTCTGAAAATTTGTAGAAATGAAAATTATTGCCCAGATTGGTGTCTTTAAAATTTCTTAGTAACTTTATCTACTCATTTCAGACAGGCAAAGAAGGGCCAGTTTAACTTAAGAATTTAACTATAATGTGTCTTCTAATAACATAACTTAAGATAATTGTATTGGCTGGGCCTAGTGGCTCACGCTTGTAATCTAGCACTCTGGGAGGCAGGAGGATTGCTTAATTAAGCTCAGGAGTTCAAGACCAGCCTAAGCAAAAGTGAGACCCTGTCTCTACTAAAAATAGAAAAAATTAGCTGGGCATGGTGGCATGAGCCTGTAGTCCCCACTACTCAGGGGACTGAGGCAAGAGGATCACTTGAGCCAAGGAATTTGAGGTTACTGTAAGCTAGGCTGACACCATGGCACTCTAGCCTGGGCAACAGAGCGAGACTCTGTCTCAAAAAAAAAAATAATAATAATTATATTTACAGCACTTTGAAACAACACAGTTTAGATTTTAAAAGGGGAAGATAAATGGCCTATCAAGGTACTTTGAAAGTAGAGATTCTTTCTACTACTGAGTACATGGCAACTATTAATATTTATTAATTGTACTTAGCAAACCCTCCCTCCCCATGTTTCTATTCATTAGACAGCAGTCCCCAACCTTTCTGGCACCAGGGACCAGTTTCATGGACTCATGGGAGACAATTTTTACACAGATGGAGCGGTGAGGGAGAGCTCAGGCGGTGATGCAAGTAATGGGGAGCAGCTGTAAATAGGGATGAAGCTTCTAGCCACTCACTTCCAGCTATACGTCCCACCCTGTTTCATGGAAGACAAATTTTCTGGGGGTAGGGGAAGGGGTTCTCTGCAGTACCAGCCTGCAGCCCTGGGGTTGGGGACCACCACAGCATTAGCTGTACAATGTCCCTGTCTTCCAGGAGAAGCTCAACAGCAACAACATCCAAGTAGAAACTGTGGCACCACCATTTACTATGACAATTTACTTAATGCTTTCCCACCAGTTTCCTCAATTATAAAATGAAAAGAAAAACAGTCCCCATGCCTCACTGAGTTTTTAAAACTTTAAATAAGAAAATCCATGCAAATTGTCTAACACAATGCCTGGCACATTATTACTGCTAAAACAAAATACACAGACGTTTGAATAACATCACAAATACTAGACTTAAATATCTTACCTGTAAGTGATATTAAATCCAGTCAAATTATAAGCAGCATCACTAAAAAAATGCAGCAGGGCATAACCTGATGTGGCAACAACCTCAGGGACAGTCTCGTTGCCATCTCTCTCAGGAACAATGAGGCCACTGAAACAAAAACACACTTGTTATAGAGGGAAGCACAATCACAGACACATCCAACGGTGGTAGACATAAATTAAAAACTGGAATTCATCCTTACGATTTTAATACATCCAGAAAGAGGAGCAAATTTCTGTGATAAATACAGAGTGCTACCCCATTAGTTCTGGATCCTATCTGAATCTTTAGTTAGGCTTCCTTTATTCTGAGTTGTATTTCTAATGAGATTTGAAATCAATGTCCCTGTTCGGTTTTTAAAAAAATGTTTTATAATGCTCCTTTGAAAAACTGAGTAAACCTCCACAATCACATAAAATAATTTTTATGAGATGATGAACGCCAAATATATAGTACTGAAACACATGGAATATTTTATATATTTATTTCTATAAAAAAGATAAATCAACACCTAGAACTCCAATACCATTAGCATTTTGATGCATTTTCTTGGCCTTGCTGATATCATTTACATTTTATATTCTATTTTACAAATAATATAGTATAAGCATTTCCTACATAACTCCCTAGGACCTCACTGAGCCTGGCACATAACGGATTCTAAGTATTTGTTGGGTGCCTGGTAAGGGAAAGAATTACTAAGTCAAAAGGTCTAAATGATGGCTTTAAGACTCTTCTTCCATAATACCAACTTGCTTCCCAGAAAAGATATGCTGACTTGAAATGCTATCAATACAGAATGAAAGGGTCCATCCACCTGACTCTGCAAACAACAACCAATTAATCCTATTTTAGTTTTGCTAATTTAATAAATGAAAAGTGATTTTTTTAAGTTGTAGTCTTGAGTTATTTTATACTGCCGAGGTTAATCATTTTTCTTATGTTTACTTTCCGTTTGCATTTCTTTACATGCTTGTGACTTTTGCCCCATATTGATTCACCACCACCACATTTAGTAAAAGCCTAGATCCTTTCCAGGACCTATAAAATTTGCTCTACACACACAACCCCACCCAATGAACAAACCATCTTCTACTGCTGTCTCCCTTTCACTCAGTCAACCGGACCCCCTTGCTTTCCTAGAGCACACACCAGGTAAACTCTCACCTCAAGGCCTATGACAATCTTAAATGCTCATTGGCTCTAACCTAGCAATCCTATTTCTTTGTAGAAGAAATTCTTCCTTATGTACACAACAACAAATATATAAGAATTCTAACTGCAGCACTATTAGATGGCAATAGGTTGGAAACCACCTAAATGCTCACCCACTGGGAGCTGGCTAAATGAGTCTTGCAGGACAAATAAGGAGCTCCTCAGGCATTCTGATGGGGGTGGGGAGCAATGTGCAAAACAATGAGCCTAGTATATGGGTACATTTACATGTACTTATTATATAAGTGCCTATAAAAATGACTGAAAAGTACATAAGCAGGCAATCAAGACAAGGAGGGGGCTGGGCACGGTGGCTCTCACCTGTAATCCTAGCACTCTGGGAGGCCGAGGTGGGCGGAAAACCAGCCTGAGCAAGAAACCCCATCTCTACTATAAATAGAAAGAAATTAATTGGCCAACTAATATATATAGAAAAAATAAGTCGGGCATGGTGGCGCATGCCTGTAGTGCCAGCTACTTGGGAGGCTGAGGCAGCAGGATTGTTTGAGCCCAGGAGTTTGAGGTTGCTGTGAGCTAGGCTGACGCCACAGCACTCACTCTAGCCTGGGCAACAAAGTGAGACTCTGTCTCAAAAAAAAAAAAAAAAAACAAACAAGGAGGGGATGGGACTTTTATTTTATTTTCAATATGAAGACAGAACTCTAGGAACTCTGAGACTCTGAAGGTGCTCCAGGGCCTACAAAACAGTCACACATCTTCTACTATGTATTCAGCTAATGAATGTTTACTAAGCACTTACTATATGTGAGGCACTGCTCTAAGTACCAGGAATACAACAGTGAAAAAAACTATATTCCTGCTCTCATGGAGTTCATAAGAAACAACAAATAAGCCCAGATTGAACCCCACATGCAAGTGTGTGCATAAATAATAACAGGCAGATAAACGCTATGAGGGGAAACAGCAGAGGAAAAGAAGAGAAGGGGGTACTTTAGAAAGGGCAGTTGAGGAAGGCCTCTTGGAAGACATGACATTTGATCAGAGATCTAAATGAAGAATTCAACCATCATCGTGCTTTCACTAGTCATATACTATAAACCAGAATCCCTTGAAATGCTGAAAGGATAAATACTGGCAAGAGCAGGGCTGCCTAGAAACAGGAATATCAAAAGTAATCTGCGCCTGTAATCCTAGAACTCTGGGAGGCTGAGGCGGGCGGATTGCTCAAGGTCAGGAGTTCGAAACCAGCCTGAGCAAGAGCGAGACCCGTCTATACTATAAATAGAAAGAAATTAATTGGTCAACTAATATATATAGAAAAAAATCAGCTGAGCATGGTGGCGCATGCCTGTAGTCCCAGCTACTCGGGAGGCTGAGGCAGCAGGATCGCTAGGGCCTACGAGTTTGAGGTTGCTGTGAGCTAGGCTGACGCCATGGCACTCACTCTAGCCTGGGCAACAAAGGGAGACTCTGTCTCAAAAAAAAAAAAAAAAAAGTAATCTTTCTCTAAGATATACTAGCACAGCAAAGAACTTAGGGCCTCAGTCACATGGGAGAGACCCTGTACTCTCTTATTATCCTAGCATAAATTTCAGGAACAAAGAGACATGAGCTCCAATCCTCATTCCATATGCCTGGGCATGTCACTGACATCTCTGAGCCTCAGTTTCCTCAAATGCACAATGAGAGAATTCCTGTCTACATTACAGTGATGTCGTGTGGATCAAACTGCTAAAGCATGTGGAGTGCTTAAACAGTGCCTCACACTAGCAGGTGTACCATAAGTGATGGCTGATGATATTCTTTATTTGGTAGGGACAGACATTTAAGTGTGTAGGATGAGTGATGTTACCAACTACAACTGCATAATGCAGTGGATAGATAAGCAGTGGATCAGCTTCCCCACTGACTGTCAGAGGGACATAGGTGTTCGCTTCTTTTCACTTCAAAAACTTGAAATTGTGACAGCTTTGGAGTGTGTTTATTTCTCTCAGTGTGAAAACAAAACAACTGGTTTATAACAAAAATAAACTGTGTAGAGCAAATGAATACAAACATAGCCTCACCCCAGCATATAAAGGTAATGGGAAGTGTGTGGGCAAGGAAGAGATGCTGCAGGCACACTCTTCAGCTGTCACCCTGAACTGTCTCCCACCTCCCTAAGGCTGCCCTTAGGCAGATCAATAAATGCAGGCACAGCCTAGGTTGCAACCAGTTGTTCAACCTGAGCAAATCAAGAACTGCCTGCCTTTGTGCTGCTCATAATCTTGGGTTTTAAACACAGACCATTATCATTCAGAATCATTTTGAAAAATCACTGAACAATGTTCTTAATAGACCTGAAATTCAGCATACTTGTCCCAGGCAAACATGGGCTCTCTGAACATACTGGGACATAACCTGACTTTACCAACTTTACCTGTGTAAGTTGACTAGTAATCCTCAGTTTGACATACCTACCTTCTTGTAAGACTATAAAGACAAGGGCAAAGAGAGGTGAAAAGTAAGGCAGATTCCTAAAGTCAGGGCCAGGTGGTGGGGCCAGGTAGGGTCTACACTTCTGACTAGTGAAGGAGGGTTGAAGAACATGAGAGAGGTGGATGACTGTGAGTAGCTTCTCTAAGTGTGCCACAGTCTGATCGTGGTTTCAAATGGGCGATGGGTAGACTGACCCCTGCTTTCACAAGGCTTCCTCTATATCGTCACAATCTAATAACTGCCTCAGCAATATATGACTTCCTTAAAAAACAAACAAAAAACTCTAAAAAGAATAACGTCGTTTTGAAGAATGTTCTCAGGGAGGAAAACCACTGTCCCTACTCCATTACCTCTGCACCCCCTACCAACAGATCCTAGGAGAGTGCCTGCTCCATGAAGGTGCTTCCCCTTACGTGCATCTGTTGAATGCACGGCAAAATCATATTATAGAGCTGGAAGAGTCTTAAAAGGTAAATGACTCCAAGGGTTTTCACATGTGTCTAGTAATGGAACTGTGTTTGTTAAATAAATTTTATTCAGAAGTTCAATATATAAAAGATAAATGTGATCCACCAGTTTGGAATCAAACTAAACTTTACAGTTTGCAATATACCCAGAGAGAACATAGATTGAACTAACACAGTACACACCACCTTCATATTCGGTTTTAGAAGCTAAGGTCTAGAGCACTTCAAGGACCTATTCAAATTCACACAGAGACTTGAGCAGAACCCGATTAAAAGTCCACATCTTCTGAATCTTGTTTGATTCTTCTTTCCTTGACTGTTAGTGGCCCTAGCTGAATGGTCTCTGTCACCAGGCTCTCTAAACTCTGGACCCTCAGCACATCACCACAGGTTTGATGCCTTGATCCAAAATTCTCCTGGCCCAACAGTACTTCCCCGCAAACCACAGTGCTTGTGGCAGTGCTTGTGGCAGTGCTCTTATGGCCTAAGACAGCGGTTTTCAAATTGTTCTGCACATCAGTGCTTTGGGGAATTTGTATTTCAGGTAAATTTCAATTTGCATATATTTTCTCACCATAATTTTAGAAAAATCACAAACATGCCATAAATTTTACTAAGATCAATGGATTAATTTATCCTATCAATTAACAAACTTTTCAAGAGAAACTTAAGAGTCCCTCTATCTGTATATACACTTTGTCTTCTCTCAAAAGTCACTGATTAGAACAATTACAGCCTTCTGCTTGTTTTGCTATTGCCGCTGATCTGGAATTTACATGTCTGCTCAACAAATACACAGTCCAGGTGACCCACAAGGTTATGCACAACCCGTTTGGCCATGTTCCCACAAGAGCTACTGACGAGCTGATTCAAAATACCTGGCACGTAACAGGGGCTCCATGAATTCTGATTAATAATAAACACAGTTAACAAGTGAATCCCCAGGAAGTACTAGAACAAAAACAACATACTCAGATAGTTTTCATGCTTGTGTTAAAGCTTAGGGTCCCTCTTGCTAAAACACAAGTTATGTTTCAAATGCTAGCATAAAAATATACATGCCAACACTTGGCCCATGCCATTTTAAATGCTTAGCATGGCCTAGCCACCCTGCTCTTTGGCCCCATAAGTGAACCTTTAAAACCCAGAAAACAGCCTTGTTTCTCAGTTCAAAGATGTCAGACAGACTTCTAAGCTAATGGGGGGGAGAAATACAAGAGCATCTCAGGGGCCGAGCGCAGTGGCTCACACCTGTAATCCTAGAACTCTGGGAGGCCAAGGCGGGCGGATTACTCGAGGTCAAGAGTTCGAAACCAGCCTGAGCAAGAGTGAGACCCTGTCTCTACTATAAATAGAAAGAAATTAATTGGCCAACTAATATATATAGAAAAAATTAGCCAGGCATGGTGGCGCATGCCTGTAGTCCCAGCTACTTGGGAGGCGGAGCCAGTAGGATTGCTTGAGCCCAGGAGTTTGAGGTTACTGTGAGGTAGGCTGATGTCATGGCACTCACTCACTCTAGCCTGGGCAACAAAGCGAGACTGTCTCAAAAAAAAAAAAAAAAAAGAAGAGCATCTCAGGTCCCTGCTCTCCTGTCCCTTGGCTCCTTGTGTGCTGCTTACTCCCTGTTACCTCCCCTCACCCACATGGAACATCAACCAGACTAGCCCCATGTAAGAAACACAAAAATATTTGTTGAACTGATTTCTTTTCAAATCAAAGAAATAAAATGTCTGAGGAAAGGAAATCTAAAAAGTCAGCTGTAGATGAAAAAATTGACAACCATGGTTCCTAAGCAGATGTGCATTTTAGAAAAATACAAAGTTATGCAATGCATGATGACATTTCAGTCAACAGCGGGCTGCATATATGATGGTGGTTCCATAAGATTATATTACTGTATTTTACTGTACCTTTACTATGTTTAGATATACAAATACTTACCAGTATGTTGCAAATGCCTATAGCACTCAGTACAGTAACATGCTGTACAAGTTTGTAGCTTAGGAGCAAAAGCTGTACCATACAGCCTAGGTTCGTAGTAGGCTATGCCACCTAGGTTTGTGCAAGTACTCTCTATGATGTTTGCACAATGATGAAATTGCCTAATGACAAGTTTCTCAGAATGTATCCTCATCATTAAGTGACTCATGAGTGTATTTTAAAATCTTCTAACAAATAAAAAGAAAAAATAGAGACAGTTTTGAATTCCCCATGTGATGTTGAATAGTTTTTGTTTAACTAGTAAAGTAGAATGTACTTATTTAAAAAAAAAAAAAATCACAAGGCCAAAGTGAGAGCATTGTTTGAGGCTAGGAGTTCAAGATGAGCCTGGGCAATACAGCAAGATCCCCTCTCTTAAAAAAATAAAAAATTAGCCGGGCATGGTGACCCACACCTGTAGTCCTAGCTATTCAGGAGGCTGAAGCAAGAGGATCTCTTGAGCCCAGGAGTTCAAGGTTACACTGAGCTATGCTCAGGACACTGTACTCCAGCCTGGGCAACAGATCAAGATCCTGTCTCAAAGAAAAAAAAAAAAGAACTCACAATACATAACTGTATGTTCCTCATTCTCTGCAGACAACCACTATTCATTTTCTGTAGATTCTTCCAGAAAGTTTCCCTCACCCATGATAGCACATATATGTAAACACACATACATACACAAAAAAACCTGTATTTGAATTCAACAAATAACTCCTTAAAGCCCATGTAATGAGAAAAACAGGAAAAAAGATGGATATGATTCCTAATTTAAATTTTTCACAGAAATATCATTCACTATATTACTCATAAATATGTGAAAATGTAAACTTCACCACCACCATGGTGAACTTAATAACACTATCACAGACCAGGAAACTGAAAAGAAAGGTCAAGTAATATGCCTAGAAACTTGCCCAGTAGCTACAGAAACCAAGTCAGGACTAGCACACAAGTACTCTTTCCATGAAATAAATATGTTCAGTGACAATAAACATGAATCCAGTAAGAATGCAACTGAGGAGATAAGATACATTTAAATTTAGAAATCAAGTAATGATGAACTAGTACTCATATAACTGAGCTTACCTAAAGGCAGCAATTAGTGGTGCGTAAATTGAGTCCCCATCATAAACGTATAAATGGTCCCAACTACACTCTGTAGCAAAATGATTGAAACGAAGTCTCATTATTCTATTTGGCCTGAAAAGAACAAAAACAGTAATTTATAATAAAATAATCATCATAACCAGCAAACATTTGAGAATATAAAAAGAGATTTTTTTTGAAAAAATAATTTACAAGGAGAGAAGAAATCAATAATATATAAACAGTATTCCTTCATTTGTCAAAGATTTAGTATTTACTATGTGCAGGAGACCACTAAACATGCAAATAGAAACAAAATGGACATGATCCATGACTCTTTGAGCTTTACAGTCCATCCAGTGGCCATTCTTTAATAGCCTCTGACCCAATTCATTAGGCCTTCCATTTCTGCACTTCTTTATTCAACTTAAGATTGCACACTACAAGGGAAGGGGGGGGAGGGTAATATACGTAACCTTAACATTTGTACCCCCATAATATGCTGAAATAAACAAATAAATAAATAAATGATTGCACACTACATCATTTCACAAACATACATGCCTAGTCTCTAACTTTGCCTGTCCCTCTGCTCCTTCATGGTACTAGCTGGCAAAAGCCATGGTCTATAGGAAACCAGTTATCTGCTTTCACTACGATGGAATCCAAAAACAAAAACAAAAAACAAAAAAACTGCGCTATACTGGAGAAAGCCACAGCATTGGGCAGGCTGGTTCCAGCATTGGTCTCTGCTCACCAACTTCAAATGGCACTTTGATTCTGCCACCAGTTTTACACTAACTCTCTCCCTCTCTACAGCTGCTACTAACTCTCAATGACAATTTCAAAACATCCCATCCCACCTCCTTCCTATGCTCAGCACCCAGACAAAAATCCCTGAAACTCCCATTTTTCAAAAAAGATAAACCCACCTACTCCCCTTCCATCGCTCGAATATTTAACATCTCCCTCTCATCTGGAACTTTGCCACCCACATTTAAATCTGCTTAATTATCACATATTTTGCAAAACAACAATAAAACAAAAAAGCCTCAAATCCCAATTTTCTCTACCAAAGACCTGCCCTAATAGAGTGAAACCCACAGAAGACTTTGCTTTCTCCATTGCCTCATATCCCGCTCACCTCTTCACTCCCCAACCCAAACACTACTCAAAAATCTCTGGGAATACCAACCCCATTTGTACCCTGATGATGCCTAACTATACTGCTCCAGCTTAGACCTTTTCTCTGTTCCACAATGATTTATCTAACATCTCTAAGTCAACAACTAAATAAATATATAAACAAATTAACTCAGATGGTGATGAGTACCATGAAGAAATAAAAGGGATGCGATATGGTAGCACAAGCTTACTGAGACAACCCAGCAAGCTTTGGAGGTGATTAGAATGACAAGGCAAGCCATGTGAAAAGCCTGGGGAACAACATTTCAGACAGAGGGAACAGCATGATCTTAAAAGAGAAAGAAGTTGATGTGTCCAAGCAACATGAAGAAAATTAGCATGCCTGAAACACAGCAGAGAAAACTGTAAAGGACGAGAGCTGAACAAGGGCAAAAGCAAAAATCGGAAGGCCAAATTCGAGGCTAACACAGGGGCCAACGAAAGAGAAGATCGTGGTTCGCAATAGTAGAGATGGTGGTAAAAAGGAATCTATAGACATATTTGGGAAATAATCTAGAGGGAAAAGCGACAGAATTTACTGACAGGCTAAATGTGGGGAATAAGGAAAAGGGGGAAGAAAAATTTTTTGCTTAGTCTTTTGCTTAGGCTCAGGAGGAACAATTGCTGAGAGCGCATTCAGAGCAAGAGTGAAATGATGTCAGATGGGAATGAACTGACAGGAAGGGTAAGGGCAAGGGCAGACAACTCCTTAGAGCAGCAGTTCTCAAAATATGGTTCACAGAATGCAGGGACCCTTTTAGAGGGATCCAAGAGGTCAAAACTATATTCACAGAAATACTAAGATATCATGTGCTTTTGTTGCTATGTTGGCATTTACTAATGGTGCAAGAGCAATGGTGGGTGAAACTGCGGGCATCTTAGAATAAATCAAGGCAGTAGCAGCAAATGGTACTAGTTATTCTTCTTCACTACCAACCCACTCATAGAACAAAGAAAAAAAATGCCAGCTTCATTTAAGGATATCTTTATTAAGCATTAAAAACTATTAATTTTTAGCCGGGCATGGTGGCGCATGCCTGTAGTCCCAGCTACTCGGGAGGCTGAGGCAGAAGGATCACTCAAGCCCAGGAGTTTGAGGTTGCTGTGAGCTAGGCTGACGCCACGGCACTCACTCTAGCCTGGACAACAAAGCGAGACTCTGTCTCAAAAAAAAAATAAAAAATAAAAAAAAAAAAAAAAAAAAAAAAACTATTAATTTTATTAAATCCTGATCCATGAGTAAACATCTTTTTAATATTATGTGTGACAAAAGGAAAGCAAGCATAAAGGACTTCTGCCTAAAAAAGTACAGCTTTCTCAAGGAAAACAACTTTTGAAATTGTTTTAAGTTATGAGCTGAACTAGCCACCCCTTTTCTTGGAACACCATTCACCACGTTTACTTGAATAATTGAGAAACTATGGTTATTTGGAGTTGGATATCTGGCAGACATTTTATCGAAAATGACCAAAGTAAGCCTGTCACTTCAAAGAAAACTGATAGTATTTGCTGCCAAAGATAAAATACAAGCACTTTCAGGTAGTAATTAGAGTTTTGGAAAATTTATATCTGCTACCCAGATACAACTTCCCAATACTCAGAACTTTCTAATGAGACTGATAGTGGTATTAACCAATGTGATTTTATATATTATATAATGAAATATATCAACATGTGGAAAATCTGAATAATTCAATGAACCAATACTTTCCAAATTACCTATATATCATATTACATAACATGGATGGGCAAACAATTCATACAAAATGCAAGAAAACCAATGGCTTTTAACTTAACAAGTTCCAAAGGTTCATTAATGTTGTTTCAGATTCCACACTGCAATCTCCTTGTCATGTTTTGGTATAGTACCAAAGAAGACTATTCACAATTACTTAAAAGCACTGTACTATTAAAATTTCCTCCCTTTTCCTACTTATATTCAAGTTAGGACTAATTTTCCTTATATACGTCAACCACAAGAACACACTACAACAAGGTGAATGCAGAAGAATGGTAATCCAACTGCCTTCTATTAAACCTGACTTTGAAGGGATTTGCAAAAATGTAAAACAATGCCACTCTTCTCTTCAAAATGTTTTAATACAGGAATTTTTTTCATAAAAATATCATTTGTGCTAAGGTAGTAGGTTTATAATTATTACTTTTAAATGAATTAAGTAAGAAATACTATGTCGGCCGGGCACGGTGGCTCACGCCTGTAATCCTAGAACTCTGGGAGGCTGAGGTGGGCGGATTGCTCGAGGTCAGGAGTTTGAAACCAGCCTGAGCAAGAACGAGACCCCGTCTCTACTATAAATAGAAAGAAATTAATTGGCCAACTAATATATATAGAAAAAATTAGGCCAGGTGCGGTGGCTCATGCCTGTAATCCTAGCACTCTGGGAGGCTGAGGCAGGTGGATTACTCGAGGTTAGGAGTTCAAAACCAGCCTGAGCAAGAGCAAGACCCCATCTCTACTATAAAAATACAAAGAAATTAATTGGCCAACTAATATGCATATAGAAAAAGTTAGCCAGGCATGGTGGCACCTGCCTGTAGTCCCAGCTACTCGGGAGGCTGAGGCGGCAGGATCACTTGAGCCCAGGAGTTTGAAGTTGCTATGAGCTAGGCTGAAGCCATGGCACTCACTCTAGCTTAGGCAACAAAGCAAAACTCTGTCTCAAAAAAAAAAAAAAGAAATACTATTTCTTGGTTTTAATTTCTAATATGGTAAATACAGACAGGTATAACCCACATAAACAAAAGTTATTTGGAATCTTCAAAGCTGAAGAGTGTAAAGAGGTCCTGAGAACAAAAACATTTGAGAAATACTGCTTTAAAGCCCTGTCATGAAGGGAGGGAGAAAAAGAAGGCAATAGCTGGGATGACACAGCAGGGTCCAGAGAAGGGGTCACTTAGGCAATAACAGTTATTCTAATTTTCTTAGCCACAGTAAAAATACGTACTTACGAAAATGACATGGGATTGTAATTTTCTAATGCTTTGAACAAACCATTAAAAATACTTAGTTTTTAGACTACTACAGTTGAAAATACACAAATTTCTGGTATGTACAATTCATTTGCAACATTAAATCAACATAAAACTTTTTTAAATTAACAGTGAAGATTAAGAAAAATAAGAAAATCAAATTTACTTGTTTAATGAAAAGTTATCCAAAAAGTATTTTATGCTACACTGGGCTCTATCCTGAAACAAACAAACAGACAAACTTAAGCTAGCCATTACTACTTACTGTCCTTCAATGAGCCACGTGCACTTTGTTTTATATTTATAATTTCCAGGTCCATCTGTGACAAACCCAGAAGATCCAGTTAGTCTGTAATTTAAATTAAAAAGAAAAACCTTAAGTCCATTATATTAACTTCACATATTTTAATATATTTATTTCATAATAAAATATTTATATATTTTCCATATTAATTTTCTATTAATAGTTTTCTTAATTCTCAATACAATACAAATTAAGCACAATGGGCACATTAATGTATACTAAAACCAGAAGAAAATGACTACATAGTTATAATCACATTGCACAAATTTGGATGAAACAAATACTTACCACACACATAAAAAAAGAGGATAGAAAAATAACAAAACCATATCTAAGTCTTTCTAGCTAAGAAGGGAAAGCTATACTTTGTACCATGAAAATGGTCACAAGACCTTATTTATAAATACAAGTTTGTTTTTGTTTTTGTTTTTTTTTGAGACAGAGTCTCGCTTTGTTGCCCAGGCTAGAGTGAGTGCCCTGGTGTCAGCCTCTCTCACAGCAACCTCAAACTCCTGGGCTCAAGCAATCCTACTGCCTCAGCCTCCCAAGTAGCTGGGACTACAGGCATTCGCCACCATGCCTGGCTAATTTTTTGTATATATTAGTTGGCCAATTAATTTCTTTCTATTTATAGTAGAGACAGGGTCTCGCTCTTGCTCAGGCTGGTTTCGAACTCCTGACCTCGAGCAATCCGCCCGCCTCGGCCTCCCAGAGAGCTAGGATTACAGGTGTGAGCCACCGCGCCGGACTAGGAGTTTGTTTTTAAAAAATAAGATCACACAGTTACAGTTACAAGTAAAGTACAGTTAAAACAGTAACTCTGAGAGCACTGTAGCTATGATGGGCAAGCACACCAAGCTACAACACACAACCAGACCCATCCTGGCCACCTACCCACATGCCCATATGCAGTGTGCATTAGCACCTATCTTCTAATAATACTTTTAGATCTTGCTGATAGACATATTGTGGTATCTCACTAATGTTTTGACTGCTACTAACCCTGGAAGATCACAAATATCTTCTCATATGCTCTGGCCATTTGTACTTCCTCCTTTGTGAATTAAGATTCCATATTCTTTGCCCACTTTGCTACCAAGTTGTCTTTTCAAAATTAATGTTTAGGAGCTCTTTTTACATTAAGGAAACCTTCCATTTCTAAGTTAAATGTACTATTAGTATTAATATATTTTCTCAGTTTACTCTTTTCTTTATAGTTTGGATCTAGTATCTTTTACTATATAGAAATTTTTAATATTTAAAAAGGATGCTATGTCTTTCCTCACTGCTATTTTCAGATAATTCATTCTTCCTCCCTCTTCCATCAACAATGTCAGCCTCTCTGAAACAGATGCTCTCTTCTGGGTCTGCCTCCCTTACTGTGAGTCATCTACTGACATCTCAGTTACTCTCAATGCACTGAAGATATTAGCAAATTGTTCATTGTCTTCCATTCATCTATAAAAACATCCAAAATGTTCCATCCAAAACCCAGCCTCCCTCTTTCTTAACCTTACCATCAACAATCTTTTCTTCCACCCCTCTTTGGCCACCCACTCCTCCGGCCCCTGCTATTAAGTGCTACCACCAAAATTTCTATTTTAAGTACCCTACCTTCGGTTCTGCTCTTATCTCTCCAGTTCATTTAGCCTAATTCTCCCTCTCCAATGAGTCTTCAGGCCCACGGGGTCCACTGAACTATCACTTACTCTTTCAATGCTCATCACCCACCACCCACACATTTCACTTTCTCACTTATCTACTTAAGATTTCACAGTCCATTACAAAAATCATATCCTTGAGTTCCTTGCCTTTCTCTCCCTTTCTGCAGTACTTGCCTGATACAGATGTCTGTGGGTCTTACTCCCCCAACATCTATTCCACCCTCAAAGCATTAGTCTAAGCCAATCATGTTTTCCCATTCCCCCTTACCAATGACTGATTAGAAATGCTTATCAGTTAAGATTAGGTTCTATCTATCCACCTTGATCTCAAAAAAAAAAAAAGATTAGGTTCTAATGCAACTGACAGAAAAACCTAAATAGTTATGGCTTAACTGAAACATAAAATCCAAAGGTAAGCAATCCAGAGCATGTAAGGAATTTCCATGATCATCAGTGACCTAAATGTTCTTCTAGCCTTACTCTGTCATCCTCAACATGTGCCTTCTACCTCACAATCCAAGATGGCTACTCAAGCTCCAGCTATCATACCCACGTTCTATCCAGAAGGAAGGAGAAAAGGAAACAAGGAGCACACCCTCTCCCTCTAAGTCAAACATTACAATTCAACTTCTATCCCATTAGCCAGAAGTTACTGACATATCTACATGTAGAGGGAGGCCGAGAAATGTAGCCATTATCCCAGATGACTATGTTCCTACCCAGTAAAAAGTCAGGATTCTCTTTACTAGAGAAAAGGAGAAAGGCTACAAATGGTAATTAGTAATCTTTAACATAGTGTGTAATCTAATACTTAGATGTGAAGGGAAGTCTGATGGACATGTTCTAGAAAATATTTTCTCATTCTTAAGAAAGACAGTGCGGTGGAAAGGAAGATATACCACCTAGATCCCCCCTTGAAGGAAGGACTTGCTGCCAGCTCTAGCAGGGAATGTGGTCAACAGACTATCAGTTCCTTCAGGGGTTGGCTACCCTAGGCCATGCCCTTCCCAGGGCAGCCCACACCACAGGGGGTACAAAAGCCCAAGCTGTACAATACAACATGGGACAACTCTCACAGGCAATCCTTGGTCCAGAGCTCCCCTTTGTCAGACCTACATTGAAGCTCAACTTCTTCCTTTGCCCAATTCTGCTTCTACTCCTGCTTCCAGTAACACCTTCCTCTCACAGGTGGTATAACCAACTTATACCCCAAACTTTCTTAGTAAATGCTTCCAAAAATAAACCAATCTATGATAGACATGCAAGAAGAGATGACCCTTCTCTCTCTGGACTTTGCTATTCTGGATATTACAGCTGGAAGTACTATAGCAATCAGGCTAAGAGTCTGAACACAAAGCCAACACCAAGGATGACAAATCAAAGGTCCCTGAAGAGCAGTAACAAACAACCACTCACAAAAACCCCCCTAATTTAGACTTCTCAAATAGAAACTAAACTTTATTTCCATGAGTAAATTCCCCACTGGTTATTGTGTTTGTGTGTTTGTGTGTGTGTATGCACGCACACACTTCCTTATTTCTCTGTTTAAGACTCTTCTAGCTCAAAGTTTTATGGTTCTTTCTCTCTACTATGCTCATTTTGCTCCTAAGAGTTTCTATGGACTTCACATGAACAGATTTAGGCTTGCAAATCAACATCACTTTTAGAAAAGAAATAGATTGTTTTAAAATGCTTACTTAATACCTTTAAACATACACATTTACATAATTTTACAGATAGATATGATCACAGACAGGTTTTTCTGTTGTTGTTAACTCAAGAACAATTCTTTTTTTTTTTTTTTGAGACAGTCTCACTTTTGTTGCCCGGGCTAGAGTGCCATGGCATCAGCTTAGCTCACAGCAACCTCAAACTCCTGGGCTCAAGAGATCCTCCTGCCTTAGCCTCCCGAGTAGCTGGGACTACAGGCCTGCACCACCATGCCTGGCTAATATATAATATATACGATTAGTTGACCAATTAATTTCTTTCTATTTATAGTAGAGACAGGATCTCGCTCTTGCTCGGGCTGGTTTCAAACTCCTGACCTTGAGCAATCCACCTGCCTGGGCCTCCCAGAGTGCTAGGATTATAGGCGTGAGCCACTGCGCCCATCCTAAAGAACAATTCTTTTTTATTTACCTCCCAATTACTCCCATCCACTCAACCAAGATAAAAATTTAACCACCTATCAAGCATTCTTAACTATTTTTCTTCATACGAGCCTGTGATATTCACATGATTCTGTTCAATCATTTTTTGGTAACACAAATTAGCTATTATATAAACTTTTCTGCATCTTTCTTTTCTCACTCAACAAAACCTTATGGAAATCTCTTTAATCAGGTATTAGTCTAATTCGTTCTTTTTCATGTAGCATAATATTAATATTTTAACTTACGGAGGTATCATTTTTCTTGCCTTTCTCCTACTAATGTTCGTTTTGTATCTAGTTGGTTAGCATTTTGCACACTGCTGCAATAAATAACCCTATACATATGGCCTTACTTACTTGTGCTTTTATTTCTAAGAATAGAAATTTTAGGAGGAGGATTACTAGACCAAAAGGATTATGAATTTTAATTGTTAACCAAGCTGCCAAACTATTTTCCAAAATGCTATAACAATTCACATTTGTACCAGCAATGTATAAGAATATGCTATTCTCCACATCCTCTCTGCATTAGGTATTGTTTGTTTTACATTTTGCCAGTTTTTAATTTGAAATTCTCTGTATTCTAGTGAATGGCCAACAAGTGATTACTGAAAGTTTAAAGAGATGTTAAAGAGTAAGGCCAGGGATATCAACGTAGAACTTGATGATTTAGGTATGGACATGGGTACTGGCTGTGCACTAGGGAAAACTAGTTTAACAGCAGTAACAAAGGCATTGAATTAAAACAAAGGCATGTATTATTCTTTTACTATATTGTTAAAGATTTTTGCATCTATGCTTACTCGGGACATTAATTTGTAGTCTTCTTGTCTTACAATGTCTTTATCTTGTTTTGGTATCAGGATAATGTTGGTCTCATGAAATGATTTGGAAAGTGTCTGTCTTCCTTTATTTGCTGGGAGAGTTTGTTACTATTATTGGTATTATTTCTTCCTTTAATGTCTGATAGAATTTATTAGTGAAGTCACCCAAGCATGAAGTTTTCTTTGAGTAAAGGTTTTAAATCATAAATTCAATTTACTTGATATAGAGCTATTCGAATTTTCTATTTCTTCTTATGTCATTTTTCATAATGTCTTTCAAGAAATTTTTACATTTCATCTTAGTTGTCAAATTTATTGATAAAGTGTTCATATTATCTTATTTTCCTTTTACTAGGTAAAAGGAAACAGTATTTGTAGTAACAATCCTTCTTTCACTCCTGA